AGCATACTGCTTTTCTTGTCTTCTTTTTCATCTACATGTATGACATCCGATAGTCGGTCTGCTTTCAAAACACAGGGTGGATTCTCTAAGTGGAAAGAAATTGAAAAGTGTGCCCATGAAAATAGTGACAGTCATCGTGAGTCATTTGCTGCTTGGAAAGAAATTGAGCGTAGAATTCGTCTTCAAAGTGGCATTGATGAAGAGCTACAAAGGCAAATTCAGCAAGAAATAAACAAATGGAGAGATGTACTGCGACGGTTGCTGGATTGTGCACAATATTTAGCTTCTCAGAATCTTGTATTTCGTGGTCATACTGAGGACATAACCTCAAACGAAAACCCTGGACATTTCCTGTCACTTTTGCAGTTATTAGTAAAGTATGATCCACAGTAATGAGAGAGAGTTTAGAGCGTGTTAAAAACAAGCAGACATCAACATTTAATCTTTCTCCTGAAATCCAAAATGAGTTTATAAATCTCGTGGCTTCATATGTGCGAAATTATTGTTTGTCAGCAATTCGTAGAAACAAATACTATGGTATTCTGTTTGATTCCCACACCTGATTTAGCCCATCGTGAGCAATTGGCCCAAGTGATTCGGCTTGTTGACATTGACTTTAAGTCAAGAAAAGTAGAAGTCAAAGAGTCATTTATTTACTTTATACAGATAAAGGAAAAAGACGCTGCCAATACCGAGAAAACATTAAGCGCAAAATTAGAAGCAGATGGAATTTTATTGAGTGATTGTTGTTCACAATGTTATGATAACGCTGCTGTCATGTCAGGTCATCTGTCAGGCGTTCAACAAAGAATTCTGAAAAAAATCCAAAAGCAGTGTTTATAAACTGTGACAACCATAGTTTGAACTTAGCATGTCTTCATGCTGCAAGTCAGGAAACAACAGTTATTACCTTAATTGAAACCATTTACAATTTCTTTGCTCATTCAACAATTCGATGGGACGAACTGCAGCAGGAGCTTAAGATCTCTGTCAAGCTGAATCAGAAACACG